GGGCGCACCCGGGCCCCAGCCAGCGGGATCGGTGTTCGATCCCTTCCTGCTGATTCCTTACATTTGGCTCAGTAAAGCTCCAGACTGCGAGAAAGCGCTAGCTCCTGGGACTTGGGGCCCAAACCTACGGTCTCCGGGTGGCCTGCCTTTGGGCCACCTCTAGTGCTTAGCATGCCCACACTTAAATGCACGTGTGTACCCGAGTGGCTACCTTCAGGCAAAGACAAAGTCGTCTTTACTTGGGGGGATTGTTTGTGCGCAGCCTGACCCCCAGTGTTCTCCCTGGGCTAGGACCACGTTCTTTCTCTGGAACCTGAAGTGGCTCCCCTTTGTCTCTGGGCTCAAGAGAAGGTTGCCTCCACCTGGATTTTGAACCACGGCTAAGTGAGCCCCCCTCACTGCTTTACTTTGAATTTCCAGTAACCCTCATCCTTCACTCCATTAGTATTCTTTTGTAAAGCGGTCTTTTCTGCTTGGAAGGCCTGCTTCCTCTCTCTGAGGAGCCCATGTAGATCACTCCCATTTCTCCTACTGGTGTCGGCTTAATGACAATCAGGTTAACTCACTGCCACTGGGTCTATGCAACTCATAGCGACCCTGCAGGGCTGCGTGGAACTTCCCTGCGGCTTCCTGAGACTAATTACTTTTCTCTCTCTGAGCTGCTGGTGGTTTCGAACTGCCTACCTGGCGGTTAACAGCGCAGCACATAACCACTAAGGCACCAGAGGAGTTGACTACTACTCATTTTATTCCAGGAAGCTGTTTGAGATCAGGGGTCGTATCTTAAACTTTTTTTTTTTTTCCATTCACGAACGCTTACCTGGTTTTTGCTGCAGGTGCTGGCATAGTTGTAAACATGTAGAAAGCAAGATGGGCGGAGTGGGGCATGATGAAATGAGCGGATTATTTATTTATTTTAGCCAAGACATAAATCTCCAAAGTCAGATGCCACCACTTTCCAGAATAGAACCAAGCAATCTTGAGCCCTTCCTGTGCAGAGACGATTCTGAACACTTGTTGGGGCTCCTCCGGCTCCACACCCTACCTGTCCTGCACCCCCTCCCTCTTCCCTGTGCTTGAGCCCCTGCTGCAGCCACCATGCCCACTTGGCGTGTCTGGAGTTGTTTAATCTTCATATAATCAGTAGGTACTATTATTACCCCTGTTGTACAGAGGAGCTAAGGTACAGAAAGTATAATGATTTATGTTACAGTCTACGGCCATACCACCCTGAACGCGCCTGATCTCGTCTGATTTATGTTACATAGCTAATAGTACACAGACTTGGAGTTTGTATCCAGAAAATCTGGCTCTATAGCCCAAACTCCTCATCACAGATGTTAAAAATACCTGTCTCATTTGTAGACTCACGACAGTCTATAAGACAATGGCTTGAAGACTCCCAATGTATCAATGTGATACTTTGTGACGAGAACCACATACAAAGGACAGGGAACTGTTTTAAATGAAAGGGCACCAAAAGACAGATGACCACGTGCGAAATATGAGCCTTCTTGGAGTCTGCAGACACAAAGCTGTCGTGGACATTATAGAGGCAGTTGGGGAGACTTTGATA